AGCTTCTTCGTAGTCAGTTGAGACAGCGGAAGGTCTTCGCTGATCGAGCGGAGCCGGCCACAAATCAGGGGGGAACGCCAGCCAGGGTGGGTCATGCCACCAGAGCAAGTTCTGCTGAAGCTCAACAGGTGAAGCGCCTCTGGTTGCGATGTCGGCTGGATTCTCGCCAGTGGACACGTAACGCCACGCCTTACGGGAAGTGAGTTCTTGAATGTGTTCGATGTAGTTGTCGACTAGACTCTTGCCAACCGATTGGTCTGAGCCCAGCCAGTCCACCACGGTGCTAGAGTCACTCCATAAAACGCATTAAGAGTTGAATGTTACATCACAAGTGGAGCTTACATAAACAGTCACAAAGTACACACAATGCATAAATTTTTTCTTGCTGTACCACCCGGATATAAGATTATTGAAGTTCCTTCACAAATAAGTTATTTACCGATCACTGGACGTATCATTGATCATATACTACCACGCATTGTAGATCAGGATGGTGATTTAGTAAATTTTCGTGGAGAAGTCATAACTATAAGATTGCACATAAAACCCTCTCCATAATGGGTATCATTTATAATCAGACAAATCATATAGGAAGCTTAATATGCACTCCAGCACTGAGTCAACAACGAGCTCTCAAAGCCTTGGGACGTCAGAGAAAAAAGTCCATCAAAGCATCGAGACATCCAAGAAAAAGATTGACACATTCAAAACTAACTTATCAAAACATTCAGTTTACAAAAAGTTTTAGTTTAAAAATAAAAAGCCCTGGTGGAAACTACATACGGCAGTAACAAACACCGCATTGATTATTAACGCCATCTGTCACTTACTGTCACCTATCGTAAGATAGTTGTTAATATAAAACATGAGCTTATACTTACAAGATCAAGAAATGATATTAATGCTGTGTTGTAAACTCCTCTCAATGCTGCTGATGCTGCGGCTACAACAACTTGGAAAGACTCTAAAATAGTAATGTTGAAGCTTGAGTGGCTTATGCTCTTTGTGGTGATGTCAGGTTCTCATAAGGTTTGTTTATTGAATTATCTGTAAAAAGATAAGTTTAAACCTATGAGTTTTCGAACTTGGGATTTATATGAGTATCCCCTCTTACCTTGCACATCAAAACATATTTGGACAGTGAAGACATCTTATCAGTTGGAAAAGCCGCGTTATGTTATTTTAGCCTTCAAAACAAACCGAAAAAATCAGAAAAATGTAAGCACTTGTATGTTTGATCACTGCAATACAAGCAATCTGAAACTCTATTTAAATTTACAGTATTATCCTTATGGTGATTTTAATCTCGATATAACACGTAATTAGTATGCATTGCTGTATAATATGTATGCTAATTTTTAAAATTCATATTATGGCAAATATTGTACGCCTTCATTAGGCAACCATCACTTTCTCAATCAAATACCTTTAATCGTCCTCGATTGTTCCAAACAAAATGAGACATTTAAAAATGCTCCAGTAGATGTGAGACTAGGATTTAAGTCGCATAACAATTTTCCTGCCAATACATCAGCTTATTGCTCAATTTTATATGATCGTATCGTTCAGTATGGTCCAATGAAACTTATGTAAAGCTATATAAACCCAATTCATGGGCTCTGCGAGCATCAGTTTATTCTCAGCCATCATGGATAAAGGCTGGAGCAACATCTGGGATAAAGAAGAAGCAGAAAATAAATGACGACAAGAAGAGAAAAAAAAATTTATGAAGAGGAATGAGCAGAAGAAAGATATGAATGTTGAAAAAACAAAATCTGTGGGATAATCGAAAGATAAAGACTGTGTAACTGTTTAAAAAATCAATTTGTTTAATGAGACTTAAATCCATATGTTGCATAAACCAAGAACAAGCAATTTTACTACTAATGTTAAGTATCAAAAACTTTTAACTAAGGATGATGATAATAAAAACAAGAAATCTTGGCTGAAAAACTTTATTGATAAGTATTTAACCAACAAAGAATCTTGTCCTAGAAATGAAGGTTATAAAAAGATAAAAAACAAAGCTATTATCATAATATCGAAGAAAATGGAGTATTTTGTGGACATGCAAGGTTTCCAGAAACCAGGTAATGATTATGTGCTCAAGGATTTGGCTATCCCTCCACTTAGTTCCACTGATGCAGAAAATTAACACCAAAGTATAAACATAAAAGTTCATACCTTGAACTTTACTATCATGGACTAAGCTGGGACTCGGGAAAAATTGAGTACACAGAAATAGGAAATATCTTAAGGGAGAATCTTGAAAATGCTGCGAAGATACTTGTTATTAGAGATCTGAAACAAAAGTGCCTTGAAAGATTTGGCTTTAAAGTCACTGATATGACAGACTATTCACCATTTGAACGAATGAAAAAGTTTTACTTAAATATGGAATGGATTGATAATGACAACAACGATGATTACGATTACAATAAAGAGCTGTGAAAATGTATTGTATTTCAAGAATTACTTTTTCAAAAAATCATTTTGTAAATGTACATGTATTAAATTTAAAAAAATTAACTCATTAGTTAAAATAAAACAAAAATCTTAACAATTTTTCTTCCACCACTCTGCACCCTATATTATCAGGCAACGCACTTGCTTACACAAAAATGTATATATTCATTGCGTGAACAAGCTGCACAAGATTTCGCATATTCAAGCTAATCTCGAGAGGCCCCTATCTATTATACTTGCAGATTGAATATAGTCTCCACACGTAACAGCAGCAGTTTGGGGGGTACTCGGTCGGACTGCTCTCGAGCATACTTGCCACAGCTCGGCCATGGTTGCCGCATGTCAGGGGCAAAGAGGGGAAGTGAGCTACAACCGCTAGGCGGTTTTGGCTCAGTTGAGCTAGAACCACCACTGTTCACCTACTGGTAAGGGCCAATTAATTTACATGAAAGGATGTAGAGATTCATACAAATTTTGTTGGGGTAAATTCATAGAGAAATTAAAGGAGTTTTCTCTTGCATTGTGTAATGGGTGATCAAGGAGGGCTGTAGGAGCTTAGTGGGACCATGAGAGGTGAGGGGGTACGTGTTAATAGCCCCAATAAAATGAGTATATAACATAAAAACCCTTATTGTAACAAGGCAATACAATTTCACAGTAAAAGCAACCCTACCCGATCCAAGGCCCCTGTACCTCTGCATGCCAACACATACAGATAGCTAAGACACCGAGGTAGCACTAATAATCAGCGGGCAAATAGGTCGAACATTCTCGCTCTTGTCTATTCACGGTTGTGACGTACGATTTGAAGGTGACGTGATCCCTAGTTGGAGTACATGCGTTTTCTTGTGTGCGCAGAAAGTAAATAAGGTTCATAGCACCGAGTGACAGTAGAAGATGCAGCTATGGTTACGTGCTGACGACCCGGGCTGCTACAATAGCCTGAACACACGTACTGCCGAGGACTAGTATGTCCAAGTGCCGACGTCTGCTCATTTGATCTCCTGGTGCCCGCATCTCGTGCTACAGCTGACATCCCTTTAGTGGTGAAAATGGTTGGCCTATTTCCTTGGATTCCGTTTCTACTACGTAAGCATTATGCCAAGCAGCAGCTGTCAAACCTGCACCAGCAGGGCTAAGACTATATTAAATTAGGCAAGGTAGGATAGTTAGGTAGTGTAAGTCCTCATGTAATAATTGCAATGAGTTATCTAGAAATATACATTGTTTCTGTATGTAAAAACATTGGTATGTATGTGTGTATGTATGTATGTGTATGTATGTATGTATGTATGTTTGTGCGCGCGCCTGTGTGTGTGTGCGTGTGGGTGCGTTTATGCTTTCGAATTTATACGCATATGTGTATCTACATACTTTATGTATAAAACTTAAGTTACATAATGTTTCGTTGCTACATATATAAGGAAGCTTTAATTTTATCAGAGGTTCCGAGAGTCCTAATGTTTTATTTTCTGTAACTGTGTTAACATAACAAATGTTGAATTTGCGTTACCTTTTACATACGTCAAAACATAAATTTTTAGAGGTTTTATGTCTTTACGAATAAGAAACGAACGCCGTCGTTCATGATAGTTTTAAATTTCCTATGTTGAATTACATGCAGCTCCTCCTACTTTCTTATATCGTGCATTATGCTGACTTTGTACAGGCAGTCCAGCAGGCGAATTCAAATTTCTACACATGTATATTCTACTTATAGTGGCCTCTCTCAATAAATTGCTGATAGCACGGAGGGTGGGGATGAGCTACTAGTTGATTATAACTGAAGAAGGCTGAAAAAGAAAGAGTCGTTAAATCTTTTGGTACGCATGTTAAAAGAGAGAGAGCTGCGTAAGGCTATGAATACAGCTATAAACACGACCATATAACCATAGCAGAGTGAGAAAAGTCTTATTGTTACACCTTTTTGCTCTAGCTTCATTCGCCTAAGATGCATAATGCAAGAAAAGGTACTGTTTTTCGAAAAACTTTGTATCGTGGGGGTGGTAAATGTTATTTTCATAAATAAATTTTCGAAGTCTATTAAAATAGTGCTATTAAATCTCTAATAACGACTAAATAAATACACATGCAGCTGTATACGCAGATACGTACTTTTATAAACACATACATACACACATAAAGAGATAAAAAGAGAAAAGAAGATCGATGGATAAATATGTTTACAAGATAAGGGTACAATGATAACATTAATAGGCAAAAACACGTATGTTATAGTTAATCTTATCATGCAGTTTTTCATTTTTTATGAAGCATGTTATCTTTATATACTTTTAATCCATCACAATGCTTTCATTGTTAGAAAGCATTTATATTTTTAGTACAACACTTGTTGTTTTTTACAATTGCTCATAAAAATTATAAAAACCTAAGGTTACACATTTGAACTAGAGAAGCTCTCAATAAAGAACTTTTTATAAAATTTTCATAAATTTTTCATATAACTTATTTACACTTTACAAATGACAATTGATTTTCTAAGGCAAAAAGCATTATACAAACTTTTTTTTCAGGCAAAGCTAGTCTGATGAGTCATCAAATAATGACTGCTTCAATTGGCCAAAGCATATTACCAATAAACAATGTTAAAGATGAAAATGCCAGCGAAGCCGTAAGTTATAACAATATGAGTCTTTTAACTAAGCCTTACAATCATTTCATCTCATATTCTATTGCAGATATCTTGGGTATCATCACCTAAAGATAAGGTGTTTCCAGAAACTATACCAGAAGAAAGTTCCAGTAATGAAGATGAACATGTGGTAAGCATACTTCTATATTACATATATGATTTTTGTTTTCCCTTTGGAATAAACCGTATTCAAAAAGTATTGTATGAGTTTCTACTAATAAGTACATTTTTAATCTTATATTTAAGAATATGGCCCGTAAATGCATGATTAATTAGGAAGGTACAGAATCTCTTGTTTATTTTTTCGGATGTTTGATATAAAGTCTACATACTTTTTTAAGTCTTTTAAATATATTGGATATAAAAACTACAATGTCTTTTAAAATATTCTGTTATGTACTTCTTTTAACAAATCATCTTTTTATAAAATCTTCGATGAATCTTACAATTATTAATATACAAACCTTCAAAATCTCCTGATTTGATTAAAACAAACGTTCACTAAATTTTTTAAGTATTATACATAATTTAATGTTAAAGCTTATTGAAATCTCACATAAAAACAGTTATAAAGACATTAAGAATAGTGCAATTTTTTGGCACAAACTATAAACAATTTCTTTTACTGTTAACTATTTTTACGTAAACTATCGCTTGAACGGATAAAATAAGCTTCAAACAACTTAACGGAGTAGTTGATGAAATAAAAAGTGACAAAATTTCTTGAAACCTTGAACATACGTTTGCTATCTTTTATCAACTGCTACAGCTTAAAAAAGCCAGAGCAAATGCCGAAGCACGAACATAGCCTTTCAAAGTTTAAAATTTTAGCACATATCTCATAACAAAATTGTTCAAAGAGTAATGTAATCACTGATTCGAGAATTGGGTGTTTAAAAATATCAATTAATTAATTAACGAGAGCTATGTAATGTAAGGAGACTGTCTTACTCATTATAAAAAAAAATTAGCCAAAAAAGTGAGACTCAACAGTAAAAGAGTGATGTTGAATTAATCAGTAGTAGTCGATACAAAAGGTATTGTATGTAACTCGCTAAAGGCGGAAAAAAAGGTTATTTTAAAACAAAAAAAAATGACTGCTGTCGATAATAAACTAAACGTAGGATAGTCAACGTGCAGTTATTTTTTTAGTAGACTATAAGTTCTTAATTTTCATAGCAACTAGAAGAACTATTTAATAAGAAGGTCAAAAAATATAAGAAGTAAGTAATTTAAATGTTATATACTTCACACACTTTTGATAGCGTGGTAGACAAGCATTCATGTTTTTTTTGTGACTAATTAATGAACTATTAGTATATAAATAAATAATCAAGCATCAGTTCTAAGTATGTGAGTAGTTTTTTATTCCAAAATCATAAACCACCTACAAGCAAGCGATGAAGACTTGATGCTAACCATGAAATTTTTGATTTAAAACTATTTCATGTAAAATTACAAAGTAGATAATTATTTACCAGTAGTTTCGATAATTCGTTACTTAATTTAATGAACTGATGATCAGGTAGTGAAAGAGTATTACTCTGAGGTAATTCTACCATTTTCCAACAGATATTTCCCATCCAATAAATTAGTGAGCTAGTAACGTTTGAGGCTACAAGGCTTAACATTAATAACTTATTTTTTAATCAGATATTAATATAGTTAAGAGCAAGCATTAGTGAAAAATGACCTAATTATTTTGTCTCTACTTCATAAGCCATTAATAAACTGCAATCAAGTTTGAACTCTAAGAAGCGCTCTTTTATTTTAGTATAATAAATAATTACTAAAGAAAATGTAACCAAGCACTTACTAATACTCATAACTATGTTACTTACTCTTTAGTTATTATGAAGTAATTTTATAGTTCATATGAAAAATTTTATTTATTTTAAAAGTCATTAAATATGCTGCAAGCAAGCGCAGGGAATAAAAAATGTCATGCATTGAAATATCTACTCCTAAACAATAAATTTATTTAAATTATGTAAGAAAAAAAAGAGAAGTTGTGAGCAAGCCCGTCTGCTTTTTAAAATAAATGTTATTAATTTATTTCCATTCATAATTACGAATCTTATTCATAATCAGCACTAGACTATTTAATAGTAAGAGTTAATTCTCTTTATTAATTCCCAGGCGCAAAGTCTTTAGTTTTTTGCTTTCTCTTAGTTGCTTAGTAAAAAAATGGCTGTAAGGCAAAGGCTCTGAGTAACTCAATTATTTTCATTTAATTTAATAATGAATGTGGTTAAATTCACAAGTTGGCTGCGGCAGTTAACTAATTAATTGGATAGTTATGTTGTGAGGTAAAAAGTATATAAATACAGAACCGTTAATCATCAGCACAAACTAACGGTCTCACAAGCCTCATTGTTCTGCAACTTAAGTGTAAATGTCTTGGTTTTCTTATTTATGATAATTTATTATGGCTTTACAGACCGATACCTGTTACATAGTAAGCTTAATGATTCTATTATTTTGATTGAAGCAATTAATTAATAAAAGACTTTAAGACATGCACATAACTTAGCGCTGAAATTCAGTACACAGTTTCTACTGTCCTACCCGATACGTAGAAACTGTGAAGTATATTTCAGTGCTAAGTTAAACAAAATCAAGTATTTATTTAAACAAGCAGTTACATTGTTTGCTTCTGTGGAATGCTTTACTGCTACAACATGGGTAGGTACAAACGTACAGAATGTGCTGTCCTACGTGCAATCATGATTTAGTTATTCGATTCAAGTCCAAAAAAATGTAATTATTTTTGCGTGAATAACGCAACCGCACATTTAGCTGGCTTACTTAGTGTCATTTATTAGTAGCAAATTGTTAAATACATACAATATTACCTTTAATTATATAAAGCAAGAACAGCAAAACCACTGTTTTATTTTCATGTATTCTAGGTTGAAATAAAAGAATTAATTATTGATGACACCTGTTTCTTTTTTTCTCTGAATATTTTGAAGCTACTTAATAAATAGATAGGTACGTGTACTTCATGTGGGTAGGTACGCACGTGTAATTATGACTGCGATCAATAAATCCTCATTTTGTTGATAGACAAAATAATTCTCTTTTCGTCGATCAAGGATGCATGTATTGAGCAAGGCAGCTGAAACTTTCAAAAATACTGTCTGACTGCCAAATTCTTTTTTTTAAATAACAAAAATATAAAAACTCTATGCGCTTTCTAACATTTAGAACAACATTTTTTCTATATATTTAGCAAATAGAAAAAACATGAGCTTCTTTTTTGGATCAGTAAATAAAAAATGTAAGCATACAGGATGATCGAGTCAGTGAATCACATTGGTTTGGCGTGACTTTGTGTGACTAACAAGCACCAGAGCTCATATTCATAATACTTTACATTATACTTGAGCATGACATTTATTTAACTATTTTTAGCAAATGAAAAAAAACTATGAATTAACTTTAGCTTCAGAGGTTATCTCCAAACGTATGTCAAATATCAACCAGTATGTAATCTACTTCAAGTGATAGCAAAGTTGGTAACCTAAATTTTTTTGGTCCCATATGAACCAACTTTAAGTGATCTTGGCAAATTAGCTGCACATATTAAGCTGGAGTACAGAGTGCAGCCAACTCATGAAAAAAAAGCGGATCATATGGTGAAACAGCATCTCACTGAAGAATCTAATTTTTTTTAGTTAAAAAAAAACATGGAATCGATGTGCTTCAAGAGCATTGTCTTAAGCAATTTGCATGTCTTTCTGCTATTTATCGTGTTAATTTAATATATAAACTGTCAACTTTCGTTACTCATGTAAATTTAATTAAAATATTTAGAAGTTTGAAGCGGAAACTTGCTTTGATTTCTACGATGCACGTTTTGCTTCTGCTCTAGGTAAGTATATTTGTTTACACAAAGCAGGGTTACGAAGTGACAATTAATACTAAAAAAGTATAAAATACGTAGTGGAACAGCTTTCGCTTAGAGGATCTTATTTTTTCTTTAATCTACAAAAAGCATCGAAATTTGATGCGCTCTCTTATGCTAAGTTTTACATACTTTTTACTCTTATTCTAGCAATGACAGAAAAAATGGTATTTGTTCATCATTTTTTGTTCAAGATCCTAGCTTTTCATTTTTACTTGGAAGATTTAATATGAACGCATCAAGCCAGGCTAGTCAGTGATAAAGTTACATTTACGCAGGGAAGCAGCTTTGGCTTAAAGAATTTATTCGTCTTTTGGATCTAGAAAAAATATTAAGATTAAATATAGACTCTTCCGTTACAAAAAGCATACAAAATTTGCTTCTTATTTAGTGACAATGGCATATCGACCATGGGAGGCTTGTATTTTATCTAAAGTTAAGACAAAACAAGAAAGAAGCAGATGCTTCCATGCTTTTTTGCTCCATTTTTTCACTAAGTATTTTGCAGCTATATAGTGGGTAGATCCTGAGGCAAACAAAAACGCACTTCGTCATCATTTAGGTGGCTGATACGATATTTCAAAAAGATTGATAAAATGCAACTGTTTTTTTAATTTGGCAGTTGCAAACCAAGTGAAGCTGGCTTATGGAGTGTAGTCAACTTGTATTCAGACGTTAAAAGTGAATAGAACAGTCATTAATTAAGAGATCTTCTATTACATGAAAAAAAAAAAAGAAACATTTTTCATTGACGAAGGACGTTTGGTCTATATAAATACAGCACACTGGAACAAAAGCGTCGTTCTATCATCATCGGTTCTATCAGGTTCTGCATGTCCCAAAAAAAAGAGTGCAGTCAACTAGTGGAGGAAAAGTTAACTTTATAATAGACCAGCTTCCAACCAAAGAATGTCTTACCATTTTCGATTTCTATTCTGCGAGAACTGCAAGTAACGCAGTTTTTACTACAGTTACTTTCATACAAAAAAAAAACAAAGAGAAAAAATAAAAACAGTACCTAAGCTAACAGTACATTTACTTTTGACTGAGTGTTTTGCGTATATACGACTAGTATATTCACCTACTTTAATTATGCCTTCAATTTGACTTAGCTTACAACCATAGAGAAAACAGCTATAACGTCAAAAGCTAACGCATCAAAACATTTAATTTCTAAGAAGTCTTGTATTAAAAATAAAAGGTCCTATTGAAAACTTACT